TGAAATTAACCCTATATATGAGACAAGACTTTTTGTACGTGTCCATGATTCAAGGTACTCTTAGCCACGTGGCGCCATAGAATATAGTGGAATATTACTCGGCTAGATTGTTACAAAATCGAGTATATCTATTTTTTCCTAAAAGATAGACATGTGACATGGGCGAGATTCAAATTTAAATTGGGTTAATTGATCACTAGGAAATCGAAATTGAAATTTAGGCTCCGTTTGAACCACGTTAATATAAGAATGAAAATAAAAAATATAATCATTATGAATCTGACAAAAGATAAATTTTTAAATATGATGACTTAATGTAATAGATAACAATTATATTTTTCATTTTGATGAGTAAATAATAGGAAACAAAAAGGGGCTTAGTTACTGATGGGTTTGTTCAGTAGTAATTTTGATAATTAATTTTTTCACTGTTAGAGAGAAAAGTGGGTCTTATCTGTGAGAGAAGAAAACAAAAATGATGACTTGGATAATGAAATAACGGTCAAAAAAATAATTTTTTGAGATGAAAAATTACTACTGAACCTGAACAAAAATTGCGGTAGAGGAATTGGTGTTTAGAGTACTTTTTTTAATTTAATTTTCTCCCCTCTTTAAAAGGAAGTTCAAGTAGATCTACTTGCACAAGAGCTTAGTCTTTTGGTGCATAAACTTCATTCAAATTCTAATAAGCCAGTTTTTTGAATGATAATAATGAGCAAGCGGTTACGAGTCTTTTTCTTATTGACAATCATTCATTAATATTGAGTTTAAGTCTTGGCAAATTTCGTGTCTAAAAATCGTTAAATCGAGTTGTAATTGAGATTGTGTTAACAAGTTTAACAGTTGGTTGAGTACGTCATCAAAATCATGGAAGGAATAACTCGTGTGTTCGATGATTGTCCAGAAGGTGCTCGAGCATATTTTCCAAAACTCGTGTCCTCGATAAAACATTCAGAAGGTGCTCGAGCATAATTTCTAGAACATGTGTGCTCGATGACCGTCCAAAGGGTGCTCAAGCGCCCATCCAGGAGAAATCCTCTTTTTCCTATTTCAATTTTTAAATACTCACGAACCATGTAGAATTGTGAAATAATTTTATATACTCCAGAAACTCTTCTCCTTAAATTTTATGTTGAGAGAAAAGAAAAGGAAGAGAATAACTTAGAAAAGAAGAAACAAATTGTTATCAAACATTCTCTTTAATTTACATTCTAAAATCAGAACACCACAATATCCTCTACCATATAAGTTCAGAGTTTGGATGTATATAAGAGATGAACAGAGTTCGGATTAGGAAAGAACGAGTTCATTTCTAAGATCTATACGGGAAAAGAAGTCCACAGCTTCTAAGGAGGTGCTGAAAAGCACAATTGAGGAGTTCTTCGAGTAATTACGAATTATGTGTTAGAATTTGTTAAGGTTTAGTTGTGTCGAAATCAAGTCCATAAGTTCAATCTTTTCATAGTGGATCATTTAGTGGAACGGATTGCTCAAAGATTTTTTCATTTAAAGATTTCAAGGATTTTTTCTTCGTAAATAAGTCTCGATGTTATTGCTTTTCAACACATTTACTTTCTTGTTTCGTTGATCGCTATGTTCGATATTTCTCATATTTTTAATCCAACACTGCTCCTAGGTTCATCCCTACTTGTTTCAACTGTGGACAGATAGGTCACACTAGACCTAGGTGCCGTAAACTCTTTTTTAGAAATGACAAAGAAAATGTCACTAGTCAGGACAAAATCTTAATTAAACAAGTCGATCTTTTAACTGAAACGACGACGTAGTTGACGAAGATAACCTCTTCTTCTGGGAGACTTCAAATAAAATAAAATAAACTAACTGATCATATTGAGCATATCTTCAATGAAAATCAATTGACAAACATTTTCACTGAATTATGTATGGTCTTAGGTCTAAATTTCTTAGGAAAACTTTGGTATTTGTGCTACTCTTTGAGTAGTATTTTAGATGCATGCATTAACTAGGTCACGTTCTTCAATTCTTCTTGCATATACTTTAATTTTTTTTATCTTTTATTTTTGTTGACTCATTCATCACTTTCCTATTTTGATTTAGAAAAAATTATAATTATAAAACATAAAGAGATTCAATTGTGTAATACTTTGATGTCATTGAACTTGTCATTTTGTGAATTATGTACTAGTACTTTAAATGAGAAGTGGGAAAAAAATTTATTACGTTATTTTAAAACATACTTGGAGTACTTGATATAATTTACTTCATGTTTCTTTTTCCTACGCGCACTAATTCTTCGTGAGTGAGTTTTGACCATATATGTGAGATTTAGGAGGTGTAGTGGAGTTCCCCTTGAATATAAATTAACTTTTAACTAATTGGCCTTTGCTCTACGATATTATATAAGTGTCAAGAAAAACAAATAAAAAAAGAAAAAGAAAAGTTGTTGAAAGGAAAATGCATGTCTCAAATAATGAAACAACATTGAGCTTCAAATTGTATTCATGAGCTTCAAAAGCTCTCTTGCGTTTCATATGATATTGTTTGAGTTGTTTTATTTCATGAAACGGGTATCACAAAGCATTTGAAATGGAATGCGGTAGTTGTGAACGTTGTTTGGTTAGTCAAATTCAAATTTGGTGGGGATCAGAATTTGATTCTTTTGTAGTATTTATAAATGATATTGTCACTGAATGTCAAAGGAGAAGTTTGTTAGTTCTAAGTAAGTCTTGGCAAAATCCGTGTCTAAAAATATCTAAATCGAGTTGTAATTAGAGTTGAGTTGACGGGTATTAATAGTTGGTTGAGTACGTCATCAAAAAATCATGGAAGTAGAATAACTATTGTGTGCTGGATGAACGTCTAAATAGTGCTTAAGCACATTTTCTAGAACTTACGTGCTCGATTAACGTTAAGATGGTGTTTGAATGCCCGTCCAGGCGAAGAAATACTATTTTTCCTATTTAACTTCTAAACACTCCTAAACTACTTATATACCAAAAACTCTTCTCCTTCATTTGTGTGTTGAAAGAAAAGAAAAAATAAAGAGAAGATCTTTAAAAATAATAAACAAATTGTTATCAAATATCTCCTCCACCTTCTAAAACTAAAACACCACAAAATCCTCTACCATAAAGCTTAAGAATTTTGATGGATATGAGAAGTGACCAGAGTTTCCATTAAAAAAGAATGAGTTCGTTCTTGGAGATCCATAAAGGAAAAGAAGTCTAGAGGTTTTGGAGCATGCGTTGAAGCGCACAACCAGGAGTTCTTCGGGTAATTATGAATTGGGGTGAAAGTCTACTAAGGTACAGTATATGATTGGTCTATTATACCTAGTATTCTATATGAGGGTAGAGTGAGTTGTGTGAGATAATCTTATTGTTCATTAATCATAGTCGTATGCATGATCAGTTTCTGGTTCCAACATTGCTCACTTGATAAACTATTATCGATTCATGTTTGAATAGTGCAACATTTTTTTAAGAATGAGGATTCTTGGATGCCTCTTTGATCATTCGTGACAAAAAGAGGAAGTAGTATGAGTTAAATTCGTCTTGTTGGTATTCTATGTTGCATGTGTTTCTAATTATTATACTTCAATTCATACTTGTAGTTTCTTCTTGCATCTCACATGGTCTTGTTTGAATTGTTGCATTTCAGGAAACAAGTATGACAAAGCATTAAGAGGGAGTGTTGTTGTTGTAGAAGTTGTTTGGTTACTCAAATTAAAATTTGGTAGAGATTATAATTTGATTCTTTTGTAATATTTATAAATGATAATGTCACTAATGTCAAGGGAGCGGTCAGGTCTAAATAACTCTTGGCAAATTTCGTGTCCTGAATCATTAAAACGAGTTGCAATTGGTGTTGTGTTGACGGGCATTAATAGTTGATTGAGTACGTCATCAAAAAATCATGGAAGTGGAATTAGTGTGTTCGATGAACATCTAGATGGTGCTCGAGCACATTTTCTAGAACTTGTGCGCTCGATGAACGTTAAGAGTATGTTCAAGTGCTTGTCCAAGCGAGAAAAAAAAATCTATTTTTCCTATTTCAAATTCTAAACACTCCTAAACCACCTACAATTGTGAAATACAATTTATATATACTAGAAACTCTTCTCCTTCATTGTATCTTGAGAGAGAAGGGAAAACAAAAGATCTTGAAAAAGAAGAAATAAATTGTTATCAATCAATCTCTTCCACATTCTAAAACTAGAACACCACAAAATCCTCT